ACTATTTAGCTAAAAATGATCATTTTTAGTTAACACAATTTACATGTTTTAACGTCGAATAAAAAAAAATCTGGAGGAATTATGAAGATTTTTTTTAAATGAAAATTATTTTTTCATTAAATAAAGAAGGCATGTAAAATAAAAGTCTGTATTAATTTTTAAGACGTTTTGTTTTATTAGCTGGTTTTTTTATTAGACAATGTCTTTTGCATTTAATTTCGACTATTTGAAGAAGTTTACTCGTATATCCCACATCCCCGAAAAGCCGAATAAAACTATGAAAACATAAAAAAGAAAATAATTAAAAAAAAAATTTAAGACAAAAAAGAGGTTGTAATATGTATGTATAAGAAATGTAAAAATTATAATATTTATATGTAAATTATCCTACATCCCTAAAGAGCCGAATAATTTTTTCTTAATTTTTAATTTTTTTTTAATCTTTTTTATTTTTATTATTTTGTCAATCAAGACTCAGTTTTATAATATAAAATTGTTAACATAGATAATAAAAAGAACAATCAAATACAAAATCAAAGTATACAATATTCATAATAAGTAACAAAAATTAAGAAACTAAAGGAAAATAATAGAATGAAGTAAAGAAATAAAAAATATAAATGAAAAAATTGGTCAATGAAATTATGAAGAAATTTAAAAAATATATATATATTTTTAAGACAAAAAAAGGATGTAAAAGTTATAATATATATATGTAAAATAACTCACATAGCTGAAAGGTGGAAAAAAATCATGAAAAAATTAAAATATAATAAAAATAAAATAAATATTTTAAGTCAAATTTTAATATGTATGTATAAAGATGTAAAAATTATAATATATATGTAAAATATCCCAAATCCCTAGAAGACCTAATAAAATTAAGAAAAAATAAAAAAGGACATAAAACGAAGCTGTAAAAGTTATAATATGTATTAATCAGGATGTAAAAATTGCAATATATATATATATATATATATATATATATATATATATGTAAATTATCCTACATCCCTAAAAGACTTAAATTATGAAAAAATTAAAAAAAAAAAAAAACATAAAAAGAAACTGTACATGTTATAACATGTAATAATGAGGATGTAAAAATTATAAAATATATATGTAAAATATCTCAAATCCTTGAATTTTTTTTTTTCAAAAAAGAAAGCATGCAGATCATATTAAATCATAAAATATATATGTAAAAATCAAAATATATATGTATAAAATAAAAGTCTGTACTACTCTTTAAAGCATTTAATACAAAATTAAATAACATAAATATAAATACAAAAGCATGCTTCTACAATGTACCTTTTATTTATAATAATCCAACAAAGTTAATCCTCAACAAACACAAAATTTCTTATCAACACAGCACATTAACATCATCGAACACTACACACACATTTCAAATTCAATATCACACAACACTCGAAAAATTCAAATCACACATTTAATTAATATATTATATATTTCCTTTTTTCTCAAACCGCGTTATTACCGGTGGTTTCCCTCCGCGTTATAGAAGAACAACCTCGTCGGCGATCGACGATTCACGATCTACTAACCGAACCGTAGACTGGAATGTGCCGGCAGAGTCGGCCCCATACGTTCGTACGAAGCCGAACTTAGTCGGCAGTCTACGTTTCCAGCCTGTGTCTGCTGGACAGTTATATAGGGCGGCTACGGTGCGGTGCGGTGCGGCCTGGGCGCCGCGGTATAGTAGAGTATTGTAGAGAGGTGATATAAGAGTTTGATTCGTTACTTAACCAGGTTGGTGTCTCGAATTATTTTTTTGATATATTGAAATGGGTTTATTGGAGTGTCGTTACTTAATTGGTGACTGCACTGTGGTTTGTGTTAGGTTTTTTGAATTATGAAAATTACTAATGGCATCGTGTCTTAAGGCAATTTACTGGAACCACCCGTACCAAAAATTATAATTTTTCAAAAAATCTTTGAAAGTTTTTAAAATTTTTGGAAAAATTAGATTTTTGAGAATTTTGAAATTTTTGAACAAAAATTGACTTTTGTAATTTTTCCCATAGCGTATGTTTTTGTAATTGTCCAAAAATCTAAAGCGAACATTTTTGCATTTATTCACGTTTTTAAGGTTTCTGAACATTTTGGCATACCTTAGAAAAAATGGATGTGTGTGTGTGCGGATACCTTTTTTCATCAAAATTTCAAAAGTTTTGACTTTCCGTAGGATAAGTTATAGTAATCGGAAAAAATAGGAAATGAAAATGTTTATATAATTTTACATTTCGGAGGTTTATGAACACTTTGGCTTACACTAGAAAAAATAGTTGAATGTGTTCGTGTCTGTATGTGTGTGTGTATGTATGTGCGGATACAATTTTTTACCTAAAATTTTTTATCACATCTTAGAAAAATGGATGTGTGAATATGTATGTATGTGTGTTCGTGTATGTATGTGTGTTCGTGTATGTATATGCGGATACATTTTTTCGTCGACGATTTTTTATCTTCACTGGGAAAAAATAGATTTATATATATGTACTTCCTTATCGTACCAAAAACTACACACTTTTAAACAAGCTTTGAATATTTTTCAATCAATAAAAAAATTGGATTTCTGAGAACTTTGAAATTTAAAAAAAAAATGACTTTTACAATTTTCAACTTCCCGTAGGTTAAGTTATAGTATTTTCCAAAAAATCGAAAATGCATCTTGTTGCATATTTTCATGTTTCAAAGGTTTCTGAACATTTTGGCATACCTTAGAAAAAAAATTATATAAGTGTGTGTGTCGGTATGTGTGCGAGTACATATGAGCGGATACAATTTTTCGTCGACAATTTTGTATGTATGTATGTATATATGTATGTATGTGTGAATACAATTTTTGTCGACGATATTACCTTACATTGGAAAAAATTTATGTATGTATGTGTGTGTGTGTATGTAGCTGCAGATACAATTTTTAGTCAACGACTTTTTATCATATCTTGGACAAATGGATGTATGTATGTGCGAATACAATTTTTTGTAGACGATTTTTTATCTTGACTTGGAAAAATTGATGTATGTTTGTGTGTGTATGTATGTGCGGATACAATTTTTTATCGATGATTTCTTGGCATACATTGAGAAAAATGTATTATGTATGTGTCTGTGTATTTATGTGCGGATACAATTTTTATAGATATTTTTATAGTAAACATTGGAAAAAAATGAATGTATGTATGTGTGTGAGTATGCATGTTTGTGTATGTATGTGAGGATACAACTTTGATTGGACACGACTTAGTATCATACCTTAAAAAATGGGATGCATGTATGTACGGATACAATTTTTATTGGACGACTTAGTATCATACCTTAAAAAAATGGATGTATGTATGTATGTTCGTATGTATGTGCGGATACGGTTTTTATCATATCTTAGAAAAAAATGTATGTATGTATGTGTGTGTGTATGTATGTACGGATACTATTTTTGTAGACGATTTTTTATCATACCTTGAAAAAAAAATGGATGTATGTCTGTGTGTGTATGTATGTGCAGGACTTGTGGTTTGGGAGATCTAGAGAAAAAAGATATAAAAAACAAGAATATTCAAAATTTTAAGAAACAAACAAAAATTTAAAAAAAAAACAGATTTCAAAAAAATTTGAACTTTTCCAACAAAATCATTATTCAAAAAAGAAATTTTTTTAAAAAAAATTAATATTAAAATTGTTCTGTTTTCAAAATTTTTAAAAATGTTAGAACCAATTCAAAATTTTCCGAAGAATTTTGTTCATTTCTGAATTCAATTCTTTTAATTACTTTAATGGAATTCCATGTCTAAATGTCTAATTACGACGTTTTGGATTTATATACGTTCCATCATCAGGTCTTTTTCAAGTCAAAACCAATTTTATATAGAGACCAACAATATTAAAGATGATGATTACAGAAAAGTCCAAAAATTATCTATTGAATATATATATATATATATATATATGCATGCCCCTATAATTTTAAGTTGAATGACTTCATGTATTCAATTTCAAGAATGTTTATTAAATAATAAAATGCTCTCCATTATATAAGGGCAATCGAATTAAATATATATAGAAATATATATAGAAATACATCATTTAGATTTAAGTTGAAATATTCATTTTCAGTCAGAAGTAAATCTATTAGTAAGTACGTTTCGACACTGTATGTGTGCCATCATCCAGCAACTTAACTAATTGTAATAAAACTAAACTTATTGACTGAAATGAAATATAAAATATACCAAATGCCTTGCAAATACCAAAAAACATTGTAATTTTGGTTTTTGAATCAAGTCACCAGAACCTTCTATTTTTTTGTATTTCTAAGAATTTCTTCTGAACTTCTGAGTTTTTTCCTGGTTTAGTAGTATGTATTGAGAAGAGTTATATTAAATTTGTTATAGGACTTGTTAACTTGCTGAATGATGACACACAGAAAGTGTCGAAACGTACAGGTTAAATAATTATTGGATCTTAACGCACGAGTTGTTTTATTATTTTCTCTACTTTGTCTTTATATATATAAATTAAAAAATAAGATTAAATTTAGTACTATAAGACACTACATTGAGATTTTTTTTGTTAGTTTTGAGAGGTGTAAGAACCTGGATATTAAAAATTAAAATTAAAAAATTTAAGAAGTGTGTTTCTGTAAGAATTTTTGTGAATTTAATATTTTGACTAAATTAAATTTCATAATAATATTACAGAATTAAATTAAAAATAAAATAAGATTAAATTTAGTACTATAAGACGCTACATCGAGATTTTTTTATTATTTTTGGAAAGGTGTAAAGAATCTGGATATTAAAATCAAAATTACAAAATTTAAGAAGTGTGTTTGGGTAATAAGTATAAACTTAATATTTCGATTAAATTAAATGTTATAATAAATTTATTTTATTAAATTCCGTTAACTAGTTTCATTAACGGATGGCAGATGCCATTACAAATTATACGCCGCAAAAACCACCATTTGTAGTCACGACTTGACACATAACCTCAAAATAAAAACACCGTCAAAAACTTTGTTTTGTTGAACATATTCGCAAATAAACGCTTGAAAGCGATAATACAAACTTATATTTGTTAAAAATAAATATGTCTAATCCTGCAGAAAAAAGGGTAAGGTTAAAATAGCTACTTGTAACATTTTTATTTATTATTCTAACCAATATATTTTTCCAGCCTGGTAAAGACCAAGGAGGCGGCGATGGTAAAGAAAAACGTCGCAAGGAATCTATTTTAGATCTTAGTAAATACTTAGAAAAAAGTATACGTGTTAAATTTGGTGGGGGACGTGAAGCTGCAGGTATTCTTAAGGGATACGATCCTTTGCTTAATTTGGTGCTGGATAACACTACAGAGTTCTTAAGAGGTAAAACATAATTTAAACTGAAAGTTTCATATTTGTTACATATATAAATTTAATACATATATTTTTACCTCAGATCCTGATGAGCCGTACAAACTTGTTGAAGACACGAGAACGTTAGGTTTAGTCGTGTGCAGAGGGACGTCCGTGGTTTTGATTTGTCCTCAAGATGGTATGGAGGCTATTCAGAATCCCTTTATTGCCCAAGACGGTTAAATTTAAGTCCATTTCTTTAATTTATAACTTTTGTTAAGTACTCGCTATGAATAAATAAATACATTTGATTTCGTAACAGTTGTTTTACATATATTTGTGAGGATGGGGGATTAAAATGTAATTAAGTATATATTATATGTTTATTGCAATAAATACAAAACTACATGAATATAAAATCACATTTTACAAAGGTACATCATTAAGTACACGTTTTGATAACTTATATACATATTTTTATTATAAGGGGACTAACTAATAAAGCATTTGTTTTATTTAAATAAATAAATTAATTTTTTTGCAAAGAGTGAATACTGTTAATTTATTTTGGCAATTTTGTTTAATAAATATAAATAAATATTGTTCTAAAAACAAGCACAAAAGCAACATGGAATGTCTAAAAATATTTTTCTTAATAAATGCAACTTATTTTAATTACCTAAGAATTTTAATAAGGCATTATAAAGCTTTACCTTTACCTTTACCTATTCGGATGGAGTTAAGTCTCTCTCAGGTTCCTGTTCATTTATAATTTGCGTTAGGAGTTCATAAACCGGTTCAAAGGCTTTCATAGAAGCTGAATTTGTTAGTAATAAATAATCGTGCATGTCGTGGTGGCTTATAGACCCATCATTTCTTACGAATCCGTGATGTATTGGAACCGTTTGCACTAATTCCATATCTGTAACTGCGGTTTTGACTAAACTATTCACTTGGTCATTTAGTTCTCTTAATTTGTTGGGGAATTGACCTCGGGGTAACAGAGTCTGGAAAATAAATTAAATATATACATATATATATATATATATATATATATATATATATATATATATATATGTAATAAAAATATCTACATATACTTACTGGTAGTACTATATAAGCATTGGGCAACTTATTCCTTATAACCTTAACAATTTCCAAAATACCTTCAGCAATATTTTCAGGCGTATCCTTTACATTATTATTGCCTACATGTAACACTATAGCCTACAAAAAAATACTAATAATTAACTATAAACTACATAAATACATCAACCCTTATTACCTTTGGTTCAACATGATCCAATTCCCCATTTTCTAGCCTCCACAAAACATTCTGCGTCAAATCTGAATGGATACTAAAATTTAAACAATGTAAAGGTGCAAAAAATTTATTCCACATCTCAGTATGCTCTAAAGCTTGCAAAATACAATCTCCTATAAATATTATTTCAGGATCTTTCTCACGAGTCTCTGATAGAAACCTTTTATGCTGCAATAGTAAATGAAATTTGTATATATTTATTTGTTTTTGTTAGATTTATTAGCTTACTATAGATATCCATCTGTTATCTCCGTCATTGTCTATTACTTCTGTAGGTATTGTACAAGGATTCATAATTGTTAATAAATAATAAATAAATAAGCTTTTATAAACAATTCGTGAACCAGAACTGTCAACAATCTGTCATTTAGAATTGCCGCCATAGAGACAAAATTTAAAGATGGTAGTAAAGGAACACAAGCGCCGTTAATAAGTAGCGGATAGTTTTGGAACAAATCGGGACGTTAATGTTTGAATTTATAACATTTATTTATAACAAAAGTCTTAAAATATTATTTTAAAGCTTAATTATATAATTTTATTAAAATTTGTGCATTATAGTAAATGAAATTACATATATTTAAAAGTCTGTTTGAAAGATATCGATTTAGAAATCGCTTTTATATGTTTTTAGTGAAAGCAAGAACTTTATTTTTAAAATAAACTAAGCTAAGTTTTAATTCTTATTTGTTCTTATTGTTTTTATTGATTGTTTATACACTCATCGTTATTATTTAAATTGCAATCACCGGTTTCGATTACAAATGCAGAATGAATGTCCATCCAAACGATTTAGCCAAAAGAATAAAAGTATATATATATATACGAGGTGTGTTCAAAAAGTACCCGGAATTACTAATAATTAAATTTCGCGGGTCTGGAGTGTCTGATTGTCAAAATTTTTTTTTATTGTGTTGGTATACATGCCCCTAAAGTATGATGAAATTTTCAGCTATATTCACTGTTTACTTTGTCTGTGGTAGTCGCTAAGGTTCGACGTGTTTTTCTGAGCTCGGCGATTTTTACAATGGAAGAATTGAAAAGTCAAAGAATTTGTATTAAATTTTGCGTAAAAAATGAAATAAAGTGTTGCAAAGTGCAAAAATTCACCAGATATGGCTCCGTGTGACTTTTTCCTATTCCCAAAGTTGAAGAGACCCAGAGACCCCCTTTGAATCTAGTTTTTGATGCCTTTAATATATATGATTTTTTTAAATTTATTATTTTTATATTCATTAATTTTTTATTTATAATAAAATTAATTTAAAAAATAAAATTATAGAAAAATTAATTATATTTTTTTCTAGTGATAATATGTAAAACATATTAATAATATGTTATAAATTACATACATGCTGTCTGTATGTATGTATATGTTATTATAAACCACAAAACTGATAAAGCTAAGTTTCACCGAATGGCTTTTAAATTTTTAAAATCGGTTCAGCCGTTCTTGAAAGCAAAAAGTCTACGTGAGGTAAAAAATTAGCTAAATTTTTGAAGATTGAATAGATATTCAAAGATAGATTAATTATAATAAATATTATATTAATGTATAAACAAATGATATGTAAATAGAAAATATGAAATTTGTTTTCATAATCTCTCACACCAGACACCCTTGACTGAGATTTGAAAATAATATATAAATAAATAAAAAAAATATTTAAAAAAAGTAATTTTACTGTAAAAAGTATGCAACATGTACATTACGTAATAATTACATAAGCTTTACGTTAATCGTCGGTAAAGAAAATATTACATAAAAAATAATGGATTCTATTCCACATATTTTTTCCAAAATTGGTATCAAACGATTCAGAATGACTTGAAACGTCAACTTAAAAGTAATTATCAAAAGAAAAATGAAACAAAAAGATTTAAATAATAATACTTTTGAAATGTAATTTATTTTCTTTTATATTACAATTACAGTATGCAAGTATCTTTTATTTACAAATATTTATATAAAAGCGAAAAGCAATTTCTCAGAAAAGCAATAACAATCGATAAATGATAATTTACACATGAGATGGATAACCAATAACAACATGAAAAATATCAAAAAGTCATATTCAACATTTGGAATAATGTAAAACTACATTTTTTTTAATATATCAATAAAAGTATTTTGATTTAAAAAGTGCTGATAATTACACTCCATTCAAAAACAATAATAATAATGACAAAGAAATGTTTTAATAATTTTTGATGCATCTAATACTAGGCATAAATAAAATGATCAGTGTTGGTTTTGTTTATTAATTTGCTTAAAAGTATAATCGATCCCTGTCTATTATTATATAGCACTAACTAATCGATCCTTTTCCGCGATTGCTTAAGAACTGTCTAAATTAGTCTATATCTTATCCTTTAATTTATTATTGGCATTACTAGAAGTATTTTAAAAACTCAAAAAATACTTTGATTATCTTTAGAAAAGAGTAATGCAAATTTCAATCCTCGTTTAGATCGAATGATAACGATCCTTTTATCGATGATTGCTATTGTGTCTCCGCAACTGGCTTCAGTTCCTTAATTTGTTTTATTAAATAGGCTTTTTCGTCGTTGAACTGTTCGTCCTCGGATCTGTCTGTGTGGAACTTTGTTAAGAAATCAACGAGCTTGTCTTGATTCCTTAAAAGTATGTCCAGGATTGGTTTTGGCTTATTTGGATTCGCTACAAACACCTAAAGGAGAAAAAATAAACTAGATTGTCCCAAAAAAAAAATACTAGTCCGCATTTCAACTATGAATTATTCAAAATTTCTATATACAAGTGTATATAACAGTTTTCTCTACGTTGTTAGTAAATTTTATCTGGTATTTACTAATGTAAACAAATTATTATGTCCAGAATAAAAATTAAAAGTTATTTGAAAAAATGTAAAAAATGTCTAGATGCATATAACGCAAATAATTAAAAGTCCCCATTTCAACTAAGAATTATTCAAAATTTTAGTATGCAAGTGTACATAACAATTTTTACTAGATTTAAGTAAATTTTGTCTGTAAACTACGTATGAATACGTTTCGACACGGTATGTGTGTCATCATCCAACAATTTTTTAAATATTTAATAACAGTATCTAAAATAAATGTAAATGTATTGTAAAATGATGTCCAGAATTAAATTTTATAGATATTTGAAGAAAAGCAAAAAAAATGTACCAAATCCATGTAGCGCAAACTATAAAAATACTAAAGTCCGCATTTCAACTACAAATTATTCAAAATTTTAATATACAAGCGAATATAATAATTTATACTAGATTTTAGTTAATTTTATCTAGCTTTTACTGATGTAAACAAATTATATTGTCGAGAATAAAAATTGAAAGCTATTTGAAAAAAAAAAGTAAAAAAATGTACCAACTCCATGTAGTGCAAACTAAACTGTATAAAAATACTGAAGTCCGTATTTCAACTACGAATTATTCAAAATTCCAATATACAAGTGTATATAACAATTTTTACCAGGTTTTAGCAAATTTTATCTAGTTTTCACTAATATAAACAATTTATAATATCCGCAATGAAAATCCAAAGTTATTTGAAGAAAAATAAAAAAAAATGTCCTAAATCCGTATATCGCAAATAGTCAAAATACTAAAATCAGCGTTTCAATTCCGAATTATTCGAAATTTCAATACTAAAGTGTATATAACAGTTTTTGTCTTATTTTTGTAAATTTTATCTAGTTTTCACTAATGTAAACAAATTATAATGTCCAGAATAACTAGCTGTAAGTGGAATTCTGTCTTGAGGCAATTATGGCATCGTGCCTTGAGACAAATTGCTGGAACTTCCCGTACCGTAACGAAATATTCGAGGAATACTGAATGTTTTCAAATAGATTATTATAAATATTGTAACATTGTCTAATATTTATAAGAATTATATAAACTGAATTGCAGAGTTGAAATTATTTATAAAGTATATTAGAACTATAGTCAGAATTAAAAATAAAATCTGGAATATTTTCGATATACAAAAAAAAAAAAAAGTTGGTACAAATTTTTGCAAAATCAATTATTTTGTTAAGACAAGCTGAAAGTTCTTTGAATCATTTAAATCGGACGCTTATTTCTCTCAAAAACTGCCATTTTTTACATTTTTAGCTCCGTATCTTCGAAATGACTGGGCCTGCCTTTGCCAAAAACTAATAAACACTTCTCCCAATCATTACTAATTGAATGTTTTTTAGATCATTCAAATCGGATACTCCGTTCTCTCAAAAATTCGATTTCTATTTTCTGCACTCTTTGCTCCGTATCTCGGAAACGGCTGGACCTGCCTTTGCCAAAAACTAATCAGCTCTTTTCCCTATCAATAGGAATCGAATGTTTTTTGAACCATTCAAATCGGTTGATCCGTGCGCCCTAAAACGTGACTGGAAATTTGTATCCACACATACATACACACACACACACACACATCCATTTTTTCTGAGGTATGCCAAAACGTTCAGAAACCTTCAAAACGTCGAGAAATGTAAAAATTTTCAATTCCGATTTTCGGCCCATTACAATAACTTACCCTACGGGAAGTTAAAAATTAAAAGTTATTTGAAGAAAACTGAAAAAATGTCCTAAATCCACATATTGCTAATGATCAAAATACTATAGTACGCATTTCAACTAAAAATTGTTCAAAATTTCAATATCCAAGTGTATATAACAGATTTTACTAGATTTTAGTCAATTTTATCTATTTTTTACTAATGTATACAACTTAAAATGTTCGGAATAAAATTTTTGAGCCATTTCAACAAATGTAAAAATATGTCCTAAATACACATAATGTTATACTAAATACCAAAATATATAAAATCATCAAAAATTTACCTTAAACACATGAAAAGCTTCAAACTGAATATTCCTTGATTTCTCCTTCAGCATATTCATCATTAATTTCAAATTATCAGGATTAGATATATATCTTGTCATAACCTGAAATTTAAAATAAATCATATGTATATATATATATATATATATATATAAATAATATATATATATATATATATATATATATATATGTATATAAATAATTTTTCTACTTACTGTGAAATTATGCCTATCCAAAAGCAGCTCACCCAATAGCTTTAAACTTTGACGCCTGGTGACATAATTTTCAGAATTTAATAATCTTTGATAATGATTAAATACTTTATCATAATTTGTTTCAAGAAATTCGGCACACAGCATTTTGTGACGTGTTAAAAGCTCCTAAAAGATAAAAAAAAAAAAAATAATACAGAAGACAAATATAGATGAGATAAAATAATTGGTTGTATTTACTTTAAATGTGGAAAATGCATCAGATGCAATATCAAAAGTTGAAACCTCAAC